ACAGATATCATAGCAAGGAAGTGAATTTGTTTCAGAAAATGTAAAGGTTAATGTTTCTTTCTGTGGTATTAGCTATATTTTATAAAAATAAGATTAAAATAAATAAACCAAACTACGTTCATAAAAGTAGAAAAATTATAAAAAGTTAAAAATGTGCATAAAAGTAAAGAGCAAACCACTGAGGCATAACATTGTTTTGTGTATTAATATAATACTTTTGAAACCATCGATCTTTCTATTAGTGATCGATGTTTGAAACTGAAAAACTTTTATTAAAAACTAACTTCGCAATTAAATGACACTAACGAAAAACTTTGCCTCAGTGTCAACTAGCGATATCTCATGAGAAGAAAATTAGCCCTCATTGTAAATAAGAACCACAGTTTAGAGACCTTACAGTTGTGCAATGTCTTTGATGTCAGGCGATGCCGCCGCCTGCGTAGGTATTTGACGCGGCCAGCGTGTTGTCACGGAAATGAAAATAAAATAATTTTGAATATTATACTATATACTCATTATCATTTATTATAACATTATGTACATATTTAAGTTAAAAACGTTTGTCGAACAAGATCATTTTTTATTACTACAAGAAGAAACACATTTACAAGTGTTGCACTGTCAAATATTTTCGTGACACTTTTTTGTTAAAGATTTTTTCAGGTTTCCATAGTGTATTCGCATTCGGATAAACAATTTTATCAAAAAAAAAAAAATGAGAGAACCTTAAACGAGACCGTCATTTGAATTCAATTTTACTTAGTAACTCATACAACTATAACAGTAATTCACCTATAACACATTTTTTCGAAAACTGCACTTAAAATTATTTAAATAAGTATTATAAAACACGATTGCGCCAACCGCATGTATTGCTCCGCAGTGCGCCCACGGTCGCTCTGCACAAGTACATTCGTTTCCCAACTGTAAGGTCTAAACTGTGATAATAACGGTACAAATTGCAATGTGTAAAGCTCCACGAGTTTTTGACTATACAGTAAATAAGACTGGTTGCATTTCACTGTATTTTTTGAGGCTAGGGGGCGGGGGAGATGCCCTTTTGGCGACGCCTTTGACAAAGACAGATATAAAAGTTTTTATGCCTTGATAGCATGCAAAAATAACTCCCTGGGCTGAGCTAATAGAAGCCGGTTATGTCAATATTACAGACAGACACTTCAATTTGATTTATATGTATAGATGTATTTACCTTGTTTTGTTTGTAAAAATAAATATCTTCTAGTCATACGTTATGTGTTTTATTTAGTTCCATTTCTGTATATATGAAAGAGAGCGAATGATCTCTTAATTTTCTTTGAAAACTAAAGTATCTGCAAAAAGTTTGAACAATAGGATTTTGACTATCTATTGATGTCGCTCGCGATAAAGCAGGACAAACTAGGCACGTGTCTAGAGGCGCGCGCTAAAGATCTTATACGAAGAATGTGCGTATCGAAGCCAGTCAGCAATTGCAGTAGTGAGCGCAGCGAAGTTTGTCTTGCCTAAAGAGAGTGAAAAATTATCTTCGCTCAACCACGACAGATAGAATATTAAATTCGTTAGCGATAATAGTACATTTACTATGCCGTGTAGTGGTGGTGTAAGAATTATGTAGAATTATTAAGGATATTCTTAAGCCGCCATTACATTAAGAATACTTATTCGTCAACTGTTTTCAATAAGAATAAATCATTTATTTTTATTACTATTACAATATACAACTGAATATAATAAATAAGCCGGCATTTTCGCATACTGTGTATAATCATTAGAACTATAATAATCGGAATTCATATTTAGTAAGGATGGCGACCGTAGTTGCAGTAATAAAAATAAAAAAACAATTAATTCAAACATTTATTTTATAAAATCTAAGAAATAAATTAGTAACTGACATACAATCTCTGAGACACTAGTTTCATAAAATAGCGATGAACTCGGTTTTCACCACACAAAATTAATCGCACACTAAAATGAGATGACTCATCTATAGCATGGCATATACAAGAGATATAATATTTCACTGACAAAGAGAAAGAGAATTATTGATGCAGTTTTAAGATAAATATGTACAATTTAGGAGTTTGTTCCACTGTGTTTAGCAGTACCACTTCCAGATTATAAAAAAGTTATAAAAAAAATGTCACAAGTTAGTGTTAATTTAGACAAACTAATTTAGTTTGTGGCACAAAGAGTGCTTCTACAACTTTTCTGGCACCAGGGCGACGCCACTTTGGAATGAGGTGGCGGGGAAGTTAAATTGAAGTTGTTAGGGAAATGTAAAGATTAGTGTTTCTCTCTGAAATTATAGTTATATTATACATTAATTAAATTTTAATGGATATACCAAAAATACAGATATTCCTAAAAATAAACTAATTAAGAACAGAGTAAAAAATGTGCAAAATTTAAAGAGCAACCACTGAGGCTTTGTTTTGTGTGCATAGGTATATCCTACTAATATCATAAACCTGAAAGTTTGTGAGGATGTATGGATATTGTTACTCTAAAAAACTACTGAATGGATTTTAATGAAACTTTGCAATAATATTTTTATGATATACTAATACAATATATTTTTATGAAACTTTACAATAATAATATTTTGAGAAAAAAAAAATATAGCTCATATATCAGAACAACACATAGGCTATAATTCATAAAGGCATAGTGTAGATAGGCCAAAATATAACGATAAGTGTTAAGTAAGTCGGAACAAAATATGTCATCTGCGAGTTATTTTGGCGTGCGGTGCAAAAAATAAGTTACACGAATATAATGCATGGTGGAATTGTATCTCCTAAATAGTTCTACAAAAAAGCTGCGACAGTAATTATCTATCTTCTATGTATAAATCATTATCAAAATAGTGAACCATGAATACAATAAAATTTGATACTTTATTTCCAATGCACATTTTGCAGTAACAAATAATTGATTCTTATCAAAATAAATACTTTATCGCTTCTGATATTCAAAGTAGATAAACTCTGACTTTAATCATACCTAAAGAGGGTGATGGAATTTACTATGAAAGTGTGGTTATTGATGGATCACATATGGTTTAAATTTAAAGTATAATATCTACGCGGACGAAGTCGCGGGCAAAAGCTAGTACTATATTAAAATTAACACGTCTGTCTGAACACGCACCACGCAAAAACCTCTGAATCGATTTGGATGGGATTTTCACTGGCAGACCTGATGTTTCACTGGCAGCCTATAGGCTACTTTCATTTTAGGAAAAGAATTATGATTCCGTACAAAAAAACCATGAAATCCAATCGTAATAAATTCCACGCGGCCAAAGTCGTGGGGAACAGCATATATTAAAAACCGAAATACTTTTTTTAATCGCAACTTTTCCCTTATAGGTGACACTGTGTAACAAATAACTTTAAGGTATCAACTAGCGACATCTGGCGAGCGGCAAATTATTCGACTTCTTTGGATAAAACTAATTTAACTATAACAGGATATCGAATACCTAATTCCCCATTGTGACCAGAAAGCGCCCGAATCATCGGGTATTAAAAGTTGAAATTGGACTTAAGAGTAAAATTATGAATGTCAATGAGGGCTGCTAATCTTCCGCTCACCAGATGTTTCTGTTCTGTCAGTTGCGACTGAGGCGAAGTTATTTGGTACACAATGTCATTATAATTGAGACGTTATATTTTTAATAAAAGTTTATCGGTTTCTAGAGTATTTAAATACACAAAACAATGCCTCAGCGGTTTGCTCTGTAACTTTTTGCACACTTTTTAAATATCTTTTTAGTTAGTTAGTTTTTCTACTTTTAATAATACCCGGTTTGGTTCATCCATTTATAATCTTAATATAAAAAGTAACTAATATTTCAGAAAGAGACTTACCTATTATGAGGTTTGAGATTTTTAACAAATTAACTTACCTATTATGAAACTGGTTAAATATTTCACCTCATTTTTAAGTGGCGCCGCCCTGGTGACAGAAAAAATAGTGGAAACCTTCATTGGCACAAACTTGAATATCAAAGAACAGAGTTTCCTCTTCGTATAATTAATATACTCTTTGGTTTTAACCGTACTTACTTGCCGTACTGGTGCAGAGATACGAGCGTTTTTAACTTTATTTTTAGTAATTTACCAAATTACATCTAGTATTTAGAATATCTGTTTCGCGATTTGTTTATACATAGCGGTACCATGACCTGATTATTGAAAGTTAGTAAGTTGGTTGGCCTGAGCTATGCTCGATAGATAATTTAATCTCTTATTTACGTCATTTATAATATTAAAACTGGTATTTAAAGATGATTTTATTTTATAGAATAAGGGTGACTAACAAGCACAGTCCACATAATGGTAAGTGGATGCTGTGACCCATAGACATCTATATCTACCCTCGATTAAGAATCAAAATGCAGATGCAAAATGCAGACTAAGGTAGGTTATGTATTGGTAAATATATAATCATGCTTTCTACTGACCACTGGGCGTCCACTAGTCAAATAATTTAATATTAAAATCATTAATGGACGTTGGTTTATATCGAATAAAAACAGTTTCAACAAGCTAATAAAATTTCAGTGTAAATAAAAGCTATTTACTACATTTTATCATAAACGTTTTTTGTCTGTTAGTCTAACTACATACAATAATCAGATCTAATATAAATGGCACTTAAAAATACATTTAAAAAAATTGAAATTTTGGCGGGAACTGTCAAGTCTGCTGGCTTGAGTTGCCATCAAAATCTCCGAAAAAATTTGCAGTGTTACGCATCAATATATTGTGAAGAAATTTGTTAACATTTAAAGTTTTTTCTTTTTGGCTAAAGACAATTGTCACAATTTGTTTAAAAACATTTAAAAAATGCACAAAATTATATGGAATTAGTCCTTTACTCTGGTACCTATTATTTGTCCACTGCAGTGTGTAGCTGTTTTTTTATTTCTGTTCTATACTTTTATAGCATGTTGCGCTTAAAAATTAGTAACTATCGAATTTCTCTTTGGTCTACTCGGTCTTTTCCGTCTTCTTGTTAGCTTTCGCCGCCGCAAGCTTGTCTTTGCAATCTTGATAAAGACCGTCCAAGTCGAAAGCTGCCTTCAGGTTGTCTTTCGAGAATAGGAATCTGGAATTAATTTGTTTAGTTGTTGAAACTTTTAATGGGTTGAGTTTGCATCCATCCATTACAGCCTATAAATGTCATAACTGACCTGGCTGAACATAGGTCTCTCCCATAGATTGGGATTCTTCATAAGGAGAATTTGACCATAGTTGCCACACATGACTTGGTTACCCGCCTGGTATTGCCAACCAGTTTTTTACTATTTTGTGTTCTTATATGAAATTTTCCTCTGTCACCTCTTACGATAGCCATGGGACGATATGGGTTAGTGGATATTCTTACACCGCCACTACACGGTTAAAGTTTGCATATTGAAATTTTAAAAAATAACTCGGGAAAAGGTTTAGGATGGAAGTTAATATACTTTTGTTTTATCTGGTGGCAGCTTAAGAGCATAGAATACATACATACATACATATAATCACGCCTCTTTCCCGTAAGGGTAGGCAGAGACTTCTTTCCACTTGCTACGATCCTTACATACATGTTTCGCTTCGTCCACTTTCAATATTCCCTTCATACATGCTCTACGGTTTAGGGTACTCTTGACCTGGCCTTTTTTCAAGACGTCCCTGATTTGGTCTAGAAATGTCCGCCTAGGTCTACCCCTTCCAACACTTTCATTCACACTCGCCTTATACACTTTTTTCGTCAATCGTTCTTCATGAATGAAGAGCATAGAATAGAATAGAATATCGTTTATTTCTTAGTATATGGTAATTACAGATGTTGAAATTATAGATATTTTTACGTAGCTATATTAGTAGTATAACTGTAACACAAATGGGTCGGCTCGAACGGGGAAGGACCACGCTCTCACAGAATACCAGCTTAAAATAGCAGCTTTAACGCTGCTGTGTTTCGTACGGTGAATGTGGAGAACCAGAGATGCTTTTTAGTGAAAGCGAGGCATTCTATCTTAGTCTTCACGGGTGACAACGCATCTGCATTTTGATTCGTAATCAAGGATAGATGTAGATGCCTATGGACCACAGCAACCACTTACCATCAGGTGGACTGTGTGCTCGTTTGTCACCAGGTTAAAAATAGAATGGTTCACATATATTACCGTATCCGGTATCCATTCCGTCCCGTGGGTGCCGTAAAAAGGGGAATAAAGGAAATGCTAGAAAAACAGTATAGCTTCAGAAAGGGCTGTGTGCTTGCTTGTCATACTTATTCCATGAAAAAGAAAAGATGGCGGTATAACCATTTCATTTACTGCTGACCTAAAATACCCAGACTGAGAACAGACAGTTGACGGGCAGCATCGTCAAAGATGCTCACGTCTGATACTGCGATAGTCAAACCACCTGCCGAGAGAACCATGCCCAGCTGTAAAATCTTACAGGCTGATGGGGGCAAAAGATTTTATGCGAAAAGGGCAGGGTCTAACAATAAAATTAATTCTACAGCTAATAGTCGTAAGAGACGACAGAGGGATACAAATCAGAAGATAGGCAGCAGCGTCTTCCTAATAACGACTAATAATAACAAAACTGCGGTTGTCAAGCGTGGCAACTATGGCAAATATCCCCCATATGAGGCAATCTATGGGGGAGGCCTATGTTCAGCATTGGACTTTAATAAGCTGTAACAGTAACGGTAATCTCAGTGAAAACATGATCGTCACCAACTTTACAGTCCTTCACAAGTACACTGCTGAACACAGGCTTTCCCCAAGGAATTGCATCCAGAGACTCTGCATCTCTTACCAGGTCGTCACTCCATCTAGAGGACTGCTACTCGAGATACCTTTCAACATGGATTGTCGGTCCTTCGATCTAAATGGCCTGCTCATTGCCAGATTACTGATCCAGCCTTAATGGATTAGCGAGCTAAGAGCATAACCAACATTATTTCCTTCCCGAAGACCCAAGATTACAGCTAACCATAACATAAATTCTAGGTTACATGCAAATATAGATACAGGAAAATTAAGCAAGTAGATACTAACTTCTGAAGCTTGCCACTGTGATCAGGTTGTGGTCTCCTCATTTTCTCCTGACCCTCACTTAGAAGTAGTACTGTGGGCAACTGCCTGCTGGTGGGACCATCCTGGACTCTGTATTTAGCTGCTGCTTCAGGATACCTGAAAAAACACATTATGCTCAACTTGTAATCGTCACCGACATGGGCCTATTCTCGCCATGGGGGTATAATTTAGAGGAGATTACGACACATCTTCTCGTTACGTATACATCAAAACTTGAAGAAAAGATTGTACAATCATTGGTGATCCTTCACTGCTGGCCGTATGAGGAAGCTCAAGGTCGCTCAGTGAGCTATAGAGAGGGCTATGCTCGGGGTTTCTCGGCTATGCTCGGGGAAAAAATGATGACTGAAAATGAAACCAAAAAAAACCCCATTAATACATTAATCTGAAACTACTAAGATGTAGGGCTCTTTGTGTGGTGGTTGAGTAAGAGAATCTACTACAGTTCGTTCGCTTAAATACGGTACGGTCGCCTTTGTTTCGCGCCGCGTTGGCACGTGCCGCGCGTTACATCAGTGTACACCCGCAAGAGAATTTGGCGATTTAAAACGAAGCACCGCGTCGTAGTGTACGGTTTTTTGCTACCAAACTTGTGTTTATTATTTATATTCGTATATTATTACAATAACTATAAGAGTAAAATAGTATTCCATTTTTACAAACACAGTAATATATACGCACACATTCGTAAGGTAGTGTTGAGTTCGGAAGCAGTTGGTGGCGTTAGGCGCTCGCGCTCAGTTACAGATTAGGTATCTAATAGTTGTGTGGCGGCGCTGTCGTCGCGCCACAAGCGAAACATATCGAAGCCTAAATCACACTAACAAAGTTCCGAAGTTAAAGCATCATATATAGAATAGCTCCGAACTACCAAACGGAGCGTTGGCCGCTCTCCGGGCAGAACACCTTGCCCGGCGGGAGATCTCCCCTTTTCCTTCCACCCGCCACAGTTGTTTTGACTCGGTAAACACAAACGCGTCTTCCCACCCTTTCTCTTCCATTACACTGCTGGGTACGTTTACCTGGCCGGCCGACAGTGTTGACTTGACCGTGACCTCATTACGTAACAAGTGTCCTATTTTTAAATTTTCGTAGGTAGTAGTATTACTTGTCACAGCCAGTACTACGTGTGAAAACTACTGAATTCTTCTGGATATCACCAATTTCATTACCAACGAGTGCAAAGCACTGAATAATAATGATGGTCTACCTCGAAAACATTTTCGTGAATGGTTGTTGTCAAAAATTGATAATAATAACATTATGTGGACTGACGAAGCACTATTTACGCGTGTAGGGCTTTATAATAGTTGCAACGAACATTAGTGGGCCGTGTGCAACCCATATGCTATAAAAGATAGTTATCATCAAGTGCGATTTAGTGTAAATGTTTGGGCCGGAATTATTGATAACATAATTGTGGCCCGTACTTCATTGAAAGACGATTAATGGGTGGTAATTATTTGGACATGTTACGAGGTGTTATTCAAAATTTTCTGGACGATATGCCCTTAGCGTTACTGAATAATTTTTTATTTCTTTATTATTATTTATTATTTGAATAGCGAATACGAAGGTATAGGTGGATTGGGCGTGGCGGCCCTATACCATTGCATGCAAGGTCGCTGTAACTTACACCATTAGACTTATTTATGGGGTGAAATATAGAGACAAGTTTACTTCGAAGAGGCTCAAAGCCATGACAACCTCATCGGTTACGTCTGTAATACGAGTACAACAATATACAACTACAAACAATTTCTGTCAGTTTTGAATAATATGTATATTGAACAGCGTACACACACGTTAATAAGTGCACCTCCGGATGTACCAACACTATCTTAGACTATACCTCATATCGTCCCGTGGGTGTCGTATGAGGCCACAGAGGGAAATAAAATCAGGAGACGAGCAGCACCTTCTCCCTGCTAACAACTCCAAATAATAAAAAACCGCGGTCACCAAGTGTGGCAACTATGCAAAATATGCCCCCTATGAGGCAATCTATGGGGAAGCTTATGTTTGAACATAAGTCATTATCATGAAATTATATTAATATCATCAGTTTTTAATGCGGCTGTAAATTTTAAGATTATTCAGATGTCTAGAATTGGGTGTAAAATTAATTATAAAATTTATTACATTCATACATACAATGATAAACATAGGTCAAGCTAACAATAGTGTTTTAAAAATAATGTTCATTCTCATGAATAAGGCCCAACATATGGTCCAGTTGTGGACAACTGTGGGCCGATAATATTTAATTTTGATTGGTTTACGTCATAGATATTGTTATATACTGAATATTTATATAATATGCGAAACATATATTGGTCATCTATTTAGCACAACATACATTCCTATCCTATTAGCAAGTAACTTCTTATTTCCATGCTAAAATCAAAATTTAGCATCCTACTGCAAACTCAAATGATATCTACTATACACATATCTCTATATATATAATTTTTTTGTATATGTGTTTGTCACTGAACTGGGTGGATTCCCGGATGGTTTAGATTCAAAATTAGACCTGGTAAGTGATGCTATTGTAGCAGAAATCACCCGTGCGATGCCAGGACGGAAAGTTAGTATTTCAATAAAAGTTTAAAGTTGAAAATAGGATGTAATTTTTTACTTTTATTATTATTACTTTTATACATACATCCACACATTCCACAGTTAGGCACAGGCCCTAATTTCTAAAAGGGTTGTGAAACTACTATTCATGTTGGATGTTAAAAAGAAAGAAAGGAAATAATATTTATTGGTAGCCATTACAGCACAAAAAGTCAACACAATGAAAAATATCTTATAATTAACATTGGGCAGCAGGAACAGAACGGTTACCGACTCAGCATGAACTTACAGTCAAATTGCCACAGCACTGTTATTCTTCTGGTACATTATTTATGAGGCACTACTTCTAAGGTAAATGTTTAAAATGCAAGTAATTGGGTCTATAAAACATTTAAATTAACTCTAGTGATGAACAAGATAAGTTCAAAATATGTTAATTGTAGTGTGCAGGAAGTGTACGAAACTCCGTTTTCACATAAGGTACTCAATTCGACTGTATATTTTTTATGTGTGTTACATCATAACTTTATTCTAGGTGAACCAATTTCGATGATTCTTTTTTTTTCATATGGTCTCATATTAATTTGCTCAAGGTCGGACCATTAGTTTTTCAGTTATATTTAATAATTTATATTGAAGTTGGTTGTGCAACATTTTTAATTTTACCAGTTGTTTAAAGTTGGCTTTGCACCACTAGTGTGTCTATGGGCCATTGTAGTCACTTATCATCAGGTGAGTAAGAGAATTGTCCTCATTTAAATTATCAAAAGTATCAAAACCAAAGAAATAAATTATCAATTTATAATTGCACCAGACTAAAATGAATGGCTAAAGACTAAAGTGAATGGCTGGGACTTAGGCCTATCATCAAACATTTACATAATCCTCACCGGCCAACATCAATTTTTCCAAACTTCAAATTATCCAATCCGTAACTAGCAGACAGCTCTGAAAACACAGGTGCGAAGTTCACACAGGCAGGATGCCAAGCGGCATACAGGCATATGATCCACATGATGTTCTTGTGAGATTTCAACTCATCTTCTAAGGTCTGGAGACCACGGAAATAGGTGATATGTTCTGGACCTGTATATGTTGGTTCTGGGAGGAGCAAGGCAGCCAGGATGAGGATAGCACCATAAGGAAGTCCATACCTGAAATTTTGTTCACATACATAAGTAATAATTTGTTGAAAGTTGAGAAATAAAACAAATAAAATATAAAATATTTTTGCAAATAATGCAATAACTTTAAGCAAGTGAATGAGATGTGATATAAGATTTTAGTTTATCCAAATCAGATGCAAATTATGAAGTGTTAGATAGTTTGGGCTGTGATTGAATAGCAGCTTAATGCTGCTGTGTTTTATATGGTGAGTGTGAAGAATCAGAGACTCTTTTTACTGATAACAAGGCATTCCACCTTAGTCCTCAGAGCTGACAATGCATCTACATTTTGATTCTTAATTAAGGATAGATATAGAGGTATATGGGTCGCATCATTCACCCACCATCAGCTGAACTGTGTACTCACTTGTCACCCTTATTCTATAAAAAAAAAACTATATGCCTACCATGTACAGTAATCAATCACTCTTGCAATGGAAATGAGAATTTACCCCTGTTCAGCTACTTCATAGATTTAAATTTTAATTTCTTTTTATAGAATAAGGGTGACAAACAAGCACACAGTTCACCTGATGGTAAGAGTATGCTGAGGTCCATAGGCATCTACAACCCACCTTCTCTTAGAATAGAATATTTTTTATTTAATATAGTTTACAAGAACATTTATTGGCAGTCAAGATACTTCTACCACAGTCATTTATGCTCATCTATACAAATAAATAAAATTGAAGTGTCTGTTTGTAATGTCAAAATTACCACCTTTTACTAAACTAAAAACTAAAATTCATATGAAAGTATATACGGTACTAATAACAAAAATACAATTTTTAAAGTTTTTGTCTGTCTGTTTGTTCCGGCTAATCTCCGAAACGGCTGAACCGATTTTGACGGGATATTCACTGGCAGATAGCTGGTGTCACAAGGAGTAACTTAGGTTACTTTTATTTTAGAAAAAGAATTAGGGTTCCGTGCAAAAATATTAAAACCCTAAATAACACACGGGCGAAGTCGCGGGGAACAGATAGTTTTATAAATAAGAATTAAAAATCAAATGCATTGTCACTTCTGAGTGGGGTTGCCACCTGTACTATAATATATAGTATCAAACTATATTTCAGTCAATTGTACTATATATTATAGAAAAATAATATAGTATGAAAAATACTATATTTTTCCCCTAATTGAACTGTCACAATTATTTTATTAACTGTGACTGGAAGTCTGGAACAAGTAATTTTAAATTGTGAATTTTTTCATCATGAATAATCATTATCAGTTAATATGAAAAGAAGAAAGAAATAGATAATAAATTCAATTAAAAATTCCATTAAGTTTAAAAACAGTGGGATATTCCGTTGGTACAGGGCGTGCAGAAGGATTTGTTTCATAATTTCCATAGTGACCAAGATAAGGCACGCCTTCTAGCTGTTTCGACTAAGGAATCTAGTCACTGGTTACACGCTTTACCATCAAGTAATCTCGGCACATTACTTGATAGGGAAAGCTTGCGTATTGCCGTAGGAATCCGACTAGGAGCGGCGATTTGTCAACCCCATCAGTGCCCCTGTGGTAGCAGCGTCGACAAGTTTGGGCTCCACGGACTTTCATGTAAGAAAAGCGCTGGTAGGTTTTCACGACACAGTTCTTTGAACGATGTCATCCGAAGGGCTCTTGCCTCTATAAATGTTCCCTCGGTTTTAGAGCCTTGTGGAATATTTAGAGACGATGGCAAGAGACCCGACGGTATGACATTGGTCCCTTGGGAGAGAGGTAAAGCCCTAGTGTGGGATGCTACTTGCGTAGACACTCTGGCGGCCTCTCATCTCAGGGGTACCTCGTTTAAAGCCGGGGCGGCATCAGAGGCAGCTGAGTTGAGTAAGTGGTGCAAATATGAGTCTCTGAGAGATGACTACATATTTGTGCCATTTGCTGTAGAGACTATCGGTCCGTGGGGTCCAAGTGCGGTGAAGTTCCTAAATGAACTCCATCCGCGGCTGGTCGTTGCTGCTGGTGATAAGAGGGCTGGTTCTGTCCTCGGTCAAAGGCTAAGTATAGCCATTTAGCGGGGAAACGCAGCCAGCGTTCTTGGCACGATACCACGGGGAGTAGGACTATATGATAATTAAGTTTCTAGTTTTAGTTTTTTTTTTTATTATCAGTTTTTAAAATTAAAAATGAATTGTTAATTTATTTAAATATGAATCTAAATTGCTCAGTTTCCTATAATTACTTTATAGGTTGATGGCTAAAACTAAGAACAATAGCAAATATATATGGAAAAATGCATAAACATTAAAAATAAATGTGTACTTTTTTTTCCTGAATTTCTCCAAAGTACTATATATTGTATCTTTTTGGGAAAAATACTATATTTGTTCAAAAAAGGTAGCAACCCTACCCCTGAGGTATATGATGGAATGCCTGATTTCCGCTAAAAATGGTTTCCAGACCCACCATACAAAGTAGCAGCATTAAGCTGCTATTTTATACTGGTATTCTGTGTGTGCGGTGCTTCTCCAGTCGACCCGCACAGTACGAGTAGCACAAATGGGTCACTAGAACCATAATATAACTGCAACATGGCTCTACCACATATATTTGTACAATAAGATTTATCTGGCAGTTCCCATAGATGTCGCTTACAATAACCACGGATTACAATTCAATTACTTGTAAGTCTTAAAAATAATAGTCACAAATTTAAAAAGATGTGACAAAACATTTCATACTTGCCTTACATCTGCATACAACCAAAGTATCAGATTAGCAATTTTCGTATAAACGAAAGAAGCGGACAGGTAATTGACCATAGTTACACTGCCCGCTTTTCGAGTTCTTAACATCACTACAATTATTAGGAAAAACAGGATTTCCGTTTCGCGACTGTCCAACTCGCAGTCTGCATCGGGAAACAAGAAATTGCAAATTAAAGCTGTCCTTTTACAAGTAACGTAGGAAATGCTGAGTAGGATATTTATCCAGTAATAAGGTTTGAGTAACTGCTTTACATCACTTCGAAATGACATGATTTTAATTTATGTTTTATTTTTCTAAGCCCGAGGAAAAGAATGCACACGATCCCGGTCGATTTGATCCACGAATTGTCAATGTCAAATTGTTAAAGATGTTATTTTTTTCTTATTATGATTTTGACATGGATGCTTGTTCTATAAGCCATGTCTTCATTTTATCTTAGTATGAAGTGATAATAATCCTTTATAGTACACTGCTTCACAATATGTTGATGCATCATGCGTAGCTTTTGGGAGATTTTGACGGCAACTTGAGCCAGCAGACAACTGGCGATAGTATTCCGATCGATCTTGATATATCGATATTCACACCACCATCGGACCTCTTGATTCACAGTTTGTAGTAATTATTTTATTTTATTATTTAAACAATAATACAGGAACAGTTTTCTAACGCCGGTCAACTTTCCGCCAAAACTTCTTAAAGACGTTTAAAAGCGGTGGTAGGGCTGCCATCGCCTAAATTACCGATACCGGGTAAAAACTCTGAACCTTTGTTTGAAAGCAAGATTTTTACCAGACATCTGGGAATAAAAATGTTTACAACGCAATAAAAACATAAAGTAGATTTGAGTAGAATGAAAGTTACAATTCAACAGTATGTTTTCTGTATATGTGTATATTTTTGGCTATACAAACACTTGTTTCGTGCGTGATTTGAACCAGCGTTCTCGTAACGCAACCACGCAACCCCAAGCCACTGCGTGTGTAATAAACACTGAACGCACACTATACTATACTAATTTTTAAATTCTTTATACTTACTTACTTATCTTCACGCACAATCCCTGACGGGGTAGCCAGAGAGAACAGATCGCCAAGTGTCACGATCCTTACAAACCTCTTGCGCTTCTTTCAGATTCATTATCTTCTTCATACATGCACGTCTAGGTATCCGAGTACTCTTGACCCTACCCTCTTCGAGCAATTTGCTCACATGGTCTTCGAAAGTTAGTCTCGGTCTACCTCGACACCTTTTAATATTAACTTTCGCGCTATATATTTTCTTCACCATTCGGTATTCACTCATTCGCTCAACGAAAATAAAAAAAATCTAAATTCTTTATACGAAATCATATTATGAAACCTCGCCCATACCATGCCCGCGTCGGATCGTACTATTCTGGAAGAACCCCAGAAATCCTAGACAAATTAGGATGACGTCATCAGATTTGGCGTGGGTAGTGCGGTTGCATCGAATCGACCGATACGCTCGCATTCTGACAGTTGCGTGCGACAGAGCAACGTGCTAGAAGTAATCTTCTTTTTTTAAAAAGAGCGATTCTAATTTAATTGAACTAGTACTTTCTTCATCTTCCATTAATAAAACACTGACAATAAAAACATCGTCAAGATCCATCACAATTTACATGTAATTACAGTGCGATAGGTGTAAAGGAAATGGAAATGATTTTTTCGGCGCAGTCCTTTCTTTCGGTGCGGATATGTGTACAATGCCTCCATGACTTCGATTATTTCGGCTCCGATAAGTGTGCGTTCACCTTTATTAGAAGCTAAACTTTTGCTAGACTCTATGCGAATTTAGATTCATAAAGGTTTAGTAAAACTTTCTGTGTGCGGTTAGTTACATAGGACGTAGTTTAGTTTCGTTTACGACGTTCTGTTTTCCGCAACTCCACGTCTATGTGCGTATTTTGCGTGTAGGCAGGAATAATGTGATTATTCGAGGCATGAGATCTCCCGAAGAAGCTCAACAGTCCTTTGATGTTGCATGCAACTTCGGGGAGTGATCCCGGCGTGCCGAGATGTTTAGCCCTGTACGTAGCAACCTCCGGACATTTCAGTAGCACGTGGGCCGCCATTTCTTCCTCCCCTATACATGCCCTGCACAGGGGGCTATCTGTAACACCTACAGTAAATAAATGTTTGTTAAATAGGACGTAAACCAACTTTTTATCCCTTAACCGCCGAATACGTAAAAGTACTTTTTAACAATTAGGGTGAGTGGGGGGAAGATCGAACGGTTTTTTGATGAGATGAGTAATGTTGTGTTTGACGTCTTGTAGTTGTGTGTTGAATAAAGTACAAAGAGCATATTTTTATGCGAAAGCAAAAAAAAATAATGACAATGTTTTTATTGAAAGAAATAAACAGGGGGAAAGATGAAAGGGTGGTGGGGAAAGATCGAAGTAGTTTCTAAAATCGTTCAAATTAATGTCAGACGATATTGACGGTCAGTAGGCTACAATTTTAATTGTCCTGACACTTCAGAACTGTCTGTAATATCAAAATACCTTCAAATAACACAGATAACACAACTTATTTGTTTTTTATATTTCAATCTTGCCCCGCCGGGGAAAGATTGAACTAGAGGTTCTCAAACTTTTCACTTTACTTTGATAAAATTATACAGAAAATGAACGATATCAATTATATAATTTTTTTTATTGTTAATGCCAAGATAATTTTAAACACCATTACGTACTTTTACCATTTTCGTCAATAAAATATGTAGCACAAAACGTAAAAAATTAAATATTTAAAAATTAAACAGCTAACCAATTAATAAGATCTTAGAAAAATGCCACAACTAAAAACATGGAAAAACTTCTAAAATAATATTATCTAAACATTAATAAAAAAAAATTGGTAGTAGATCCAAGTCTACCGAAGTCTACAGTTCACTGTAACACATATACAACATGTAACAAAAACCCTGTAAGTACGTTATCAGGATCAGTATTCAAACCTATAGAAATAACTTTTTATAAAAACAAGACCAAATTTTCTTTTAATTTTATTAAAAAAAAATTATGTGGTTTTATTACCTCTTACTGACACTAGCCGATGCTAAAGCTAAGTAAAGCGGGGTCTTTGACAATTCTCGTACTCCCCAGACAATGCAGAGGTAATAAAACCATATACAGTTTGCATACAATTTTTTTTAAATAAAATAAAAAAATATTGTTCGAGTTTTTAAAAAAAAAGTTATTTCTATACGTTTGAATAATGATTCTGATAACGTTCTTAACGGGAACCACAGAGTTTTTGTTACATATTGTATAAGCAGGGTCGACCGGTGCGATACTACCCTCTCACAGAAAATCAGCGTGAAGTGGTTAGCTTCTTAGTGGCTGCCATGTTTCGTCTGGTGAGTGAGAGTTCCGGATGCCCGTTCCTTTTCCCCTTTTCTTAAGGCCACCCGAATGTTGACGTTTGCTAGATATGTGACGTTGCATTGTTCTAGGAGATGTGATGTTGCATTTACTAACGAGTGTCTGGTGGTCTTTCCCGTTTCTTTCCTGCTTCCATTCCTACGAATCCAACAGGATTCGTAGGAAATGCCTTCTCATAAGGTATAGGAACACCTATACCTTATGAGAAGGCAACGCACAAGTAACACTCCTGTTGTTTCTTGTGTCTGCAGCGGTGAAATCACTTAGCCATCAGGTGACCCGCTTGCTCTTTTTGTCTCTCTTATAATACACAAAAATTAAAATAAATACCTTTAGATAACATTAGCTGAAATTGTGCCGCGGAAAATTTATATAATGGCTGTAACAAAACAAAACATTTTTCAGGTACAGTTTGAGAGCATGAGACCATTTGTATGACTTTTGAAAACGGGGCAAGATGGAAACTTTTATGTTTATCTTACCCCGTCAAATATTGGCGGGTAAGACGGAATGTTACAATAAGTCCTAAAATCCAAAAAGTAGCGATATTTAGACATAGCAACATAACTACAAATTAAAAATAATAAGTATGTATACAAATAAAAAACTCGTACCTACCTCGTAAATCAAGTTACACGACACGGGGTAAGATTAAAACACCCGACTTGGTCGCGTAAAATTTACAGCGCAGATATTCCCTTATAACACACAACCGATCCCTCAAAACGACATGTGCCGACCATGTGCCGACTTAGGTGTGGTACGTAAGAAAATGGCGGTCTTATGAATGTTGCCTGCATTGGATAAATTACACAATCTGTCTTTACTGATGCCTTTTTGTGTTATCCCGTTTTTCATCTTCCCCCCACTCACCCTACTTAAATTTTCTTAATTTTTTTTTGTGGATATTTGTATTACTTTTTTCCAAATATACCTAGTCAGGTCATAAATTCTGTCACATGTTTTATATAAAATAATTGAAACAAATTTATTCATTATGTAACCATTTATATACCAAAATGAACTTAACAAAACATAGATTCGTATGACACTAAAGTTTATTCAAAATGACCTCCGTGATTTTGAATACAGGCCTTCAATCTGCGCGGCCAGTCGCCAATCGCAGCACGAACGAGGTCCATGTCAATATCGGCGGCTGCCTTAATCAAGGATGTCTTGAGTGACTCCAAATTGGGATGAGGCTTTTAGCACGCCTTTTCCTCCAAGTGTTGCCATATCTTGTAATCTAACGGATTCAAATCTGGACTGGAGGAGGGCCAGTCTTCGTGCTGGATGAAGTCGATTTCACGCGCCGCCAGCCAGTCTTGTGTGCTCTTCGCTCTATGAGCTGGCGCCGAATCTTGTTGGAATACTCAGTGCCTGTTATTGAACATGGTATGAGAAACAGGTTCCACAAGGTTCGTCAGGACTGTATTTTGATACACAACTGCATTCGTTTTTACACCTTTCTCACAAAAGTGTACCTCTGTTAAGCCCCACTAAGAAACTCCCAACCATACCATGAGCGAGGATGGAAAATGACCTCGTTGGACACGTGGAATACGGTTGCTCGCTTCTTCACTACTGTGTGCGTACACCTTATAATTTTGTTTGTTGTAGCTCTCTTCTACGGTAAAAATTTTTTCATCCGAAAAAAGAATTTCCCGATATTTTTTTCCCGCGTACCGCTTCAACAAAGCGCGGCATCTCTTCAGTCATGTCCATTAGACGAGCATTCAAACGATGTCCTGTTTTTCTTCGATAAGCCCGAAGCCTTAAGTCTTCATTTAACACCCTTTTCACCGTGGTTCTGCTTAACCCCATCTGAAGGGCCAACAGTTTCTGCTTACGTTTGGG